CCCGCAGATGTAGCAGTGCCGTCCGTCCGTTTTTTTACTACGGGCGGACGGCAAGAGGTTAAGGGGGTAATTATTATTATTATACAGGATTTATATAGCGCCAACAGTTTGCGCAGCGCTTTACAATATAGGGAAGACATTACAATCACAATACAAATCAAGACAAGATGGTAAGCAGGGCCTGCCCGTGAGGGCTTACAATCTAATTCAGAAAGCTGCCGAAGGCAGCAGAGTGAATATCCCAGCCAAAGTGAAGAGAGCCGAACGACGTTCGGCTATTCACTCCGGCTCAGTACGGCTGAGAGTCTGGCTCCGCCCAGCTGTCAATTGCGTGGAGAACAGCCGCCCCTTCGGCAGGCCATTCTCCCCGCTTCGGCTGTCACTTCAGCTCAGTCGAGCCGAAGCATATGCCTTCGCTTCGGCTGAGCTGCTAGGCTTCGTTCATATAAACGTAAATACGCGCCCGGTGCCCCAGCGCGCAAAAACGACAATTGCGCTACACATGTTACATATCGCCGCGAACGTCGATATGTAACATCGACCTTGCAAAAGGTGAACTATGAGTTTAGGTGTATTAAAGTGACATTAAAGTAAAATTTTTTTTTTTGCCCCTTCCCAATCCTTACCTTAAATGATGCCTCTTGATCTGATCATCTTCTTTACTGTCCTTTTCAGCTGTCGCTCCAGCGCTGGTGTGGGTCTCCGATCCAGCGTAGACTCCTCTTTCCTTCTCTTGTCTGGTGTCTGCGCGGGTGCACGCTGCATCATAGACTTAGCTTGTGTCTCTCCTCGTCTCCCGGCCGAACATCGCAAGAAGAGCGAAGCCCGAGACTCTTCAGATGTTCGGACGGGAGCGTGTGGCAAGGACACGGGTAAGTTTAAATCCTTTTTAACCACTTGCCGTCCGCCCGTTGTAAAAAAACGGACGGACGGCACTGCTGCATTGGCGGGTTGCCGTCGCCAGACGGTATTTTTTTTCTGGGCACGCACAGGCAGAAAAGACCCGACCAATGCAAACACCCGTTACCGGGGGTTAAACATATAGACGATCGGCGGCTCCATAGCACGCCGATCGTCTATATGTGCTCGTTTTTCGCCCCCCCTCCCCATGCGCCGCCGCTGCCGTTTTTTTGGCCATCCCCCCTGACACCTCACCTGCAATCCCGGGATCCGCTGCCCCATCTGCGGCCCGGGACCGGCTCCGAGAGCGTCAGGAGGAGGAGGACGGGAGATCAGCTCCTTGCTGATCCCCGTCCGGGCTGTGAATGCAGAAGTGATGTGTATTACATCACTTCCGCATTCACCTGTCAGTCATCTGGCTGCTATAGCCAGAGAGAAGAAGCTGATAAAGCAGATCTCTGCTTCATCAGCTTCTTTTGGGGTCCACAGGTGATATTAGGGGTCCTAGAGACCCCTAATGTCTCCATAAAGAGGACCTGTCATTGTGCCTTTGCTATTATATAGGGGGATTGGTATCCCCCTATATAATAGCAATAACAATAAGTGCAAAAAAA